GTCTTGGTGGTAGCACTTGAATGTCCTATAGTTCTAGCAGCACATTGTCTGCAGATGAAGGCATGGGTCATCCGATAAATGCAGGCAGGTGTGACTGTGTTGAACTCTACGAAGTCAGGCTGGCAATATGCGCGTGCAGGCGCATTTGCAAAACGCCGTGCGCTCTGTGAGGTCGAGCTTCCTATTCCCTGCAGCAAAGAGAAATCGCATGCCCTATAGACTTAGAATAAAGGATTGCTTTTTCCCGCAGCGTGCCTGCGTTTGCCCTTCCTGCATCGCTGACCTTGTCATGCCTCTACAAGGCCGTGCAAGACCTGGAGCTCTGCTTCAAGCACCTTGTGGTGGTTCTCCTGCAGCCTTTCAGCATCAAGCTTTGCTAGCACCTCCGCGCGAGGCGAGATCGTCCTTCCTTGACGGTAGTTCATTCATCTGCCACCTACAAGATCTGCTCCATCATGCTAAGTGACATTCTTTTGTCTGAGTTGCGCAGAGCCTGTTGCTGGGCGCTTTTGATGTAGGTGTTGGGCAAATGCCGCGGGCCAGCCAGGATGGAGGCCATTGCCAGCCTTGCAGTCACCAAATCTCAAATCATGTCCTAAGCGCAGCCCAGCTAAGCGAGCTAGCTCAGCAAGACTTCAATCTGTGGGTGCATGCTATGCAGGCTCAAGTTTGGTGTGTGACTTGTGTAAAACTCTGCAAAACGTCCGCAAGTTTCCAGCATGCCGAGTTTACGTATCTTGCCTGCAGCTGCATGGTCAAATTTGCAAAGGCTGCAGGGAATTTCCCAGGTCTGCTGAGCTAGGACTAGCAGCCTCTTGATCTCAGCGGAAACCACAGATTGGCATGAGATGTTTCAAGTCTACACTTGCCTGCTCATGCTCAGGTACTGGGATCATTGTGATTGGGGCCACTCTTTGTTCCGTTCGGGCAGACCTGCCACATCTTGAAAAAGAGTTCGAGCAATTCGTCACAAAATTTGAGAAGAGCCTCAGCCGCATACTGCTAGCAAGTCTTGTGCGTCCGCTACAGTGAAGAGCTGAGGACGTACGCCACGGCCGCCGAACGCGCAACTCGCTTTGCCACCTTTGCAAAGAACTTTGCCCGCATCGAGGCCCACAACGCAGAGGGCCATGCCTTCAAGCTGGGCATCAACGAGTTCGCTGACATGGAGCCGGAGGAATTCGCTTCCAGCCACTTTGGGCTCTCTGCTGAAAGCCGACCATGGTCTGGTTTGCCTTACCTGGGCAGGGACCCGCGCCATGTCTGCAAGCCCTCACCGCTTCTGATGACCAGCCACGACTAGGATTTCTGAAGGTCTTTTTCCTAAATCATCCGTGACGCATTGAGGTACAGCGGCTCAGAGTTGCCCAAGAGTGTGGACTGGGTGAGCAAGGGCGCAGTCACCAACCCAAAGGATCAGGCGAAATGCGGATCGTGCTGGTCTTTTTCGACCACGGGAGCGCTGGAGGGTGCCTGGAAAATTGCCACTGGCAAGCTGGTCTCTTTGAGCGAGCAGCAGCTTGTGGACTGTGCAAAAAACGGCAACATGGGCTGCAATGGTGGCTCCATGGATCTCGCTTTTGAGTACCTGGAGAAGTACGATGTTTGCACCGAAGCAAGCTACCCGTACAAGGCTAAGCAAGGACAGTGCCACGAGACGAACTGTACGGTTGCAGTCCCAAAGGGCTCCATCGTGGGCTTTAAGGATGTGACACCCCAGGACACAAACGCCTTGATGGAAGCCGTTTCCGAGCAGCCAGTGTCGGTTGCCATCGAAGCTGACCAGATGGCCTTCCAGCTGTACCAGGGAGGTGTCTTGACGAAGAAGTGTGGCAAGAAGCTGGATCATGGTGTGCTGGTTGTGGGCTACGGCACAGACAACGGCGTGGATTACTGGAAGGCGAAAGGATTCATAGGCAGTGTAGCATACAGCAAGTTGTAGCCTCAGTAGCCTCCCTGAGACTCTTCCTCGTGAGGTGAAGAACTCATGGGGAGGTTCGTGGGGCGAAAATGGCTACGTGAGAATCGAGCGTGGTGTGCCCAAAGACGGCGAGTGCGGCATCAAGGACCAGCCCTCCTATCCCATTGTGAAGGCCAAGGAGCATGCTGTCGCGGCCATTGTCGTGTAAAGCAGAGTGATGTGCTGTCGCACCAGCAGTGCCTCGAAGGAGCCACTGGCGTGTGCTAAAGCTTTTCATCCCCAGTTTGCATGGGAGCTCTCATTTGAATTCAGTCTTGGGGCTCCTGATTTTCAAGCTGCCATCCAGAAGGCCGTAGCACTGCCGCTCCCCACCAGCTCACGATCGTCGGGCCTTGAGGTGAGGTCTTCCAGGGTGGCTGTGGCAGTGACCTTCTGAACCTTTTGGTTTAGCGCCGCTTAGAGTGTCTTTAGGCACACTCGCTAGCAGCCAGCTGAACGTCATTCAGATAAGCAGTACCTAGTAGCATCAGATGGGGCATGCAGACAGACTTCTGCTGGCCTTGAAGCTCACAGGAAATGACCGCTTGGGTCATTTCTGAGCTGGGCATGGGCTTTGTGGGCCTTATGGGCCCATGAAGCCCTCAGCTGCGAAGGCGGCTCTAATCCTCTATCCTGAATACCAGGGTCTCTGAGCGTAAAGGGAGGCCTCTTCGGCATGAAGGCTACACGAAACGTGCACCGGCCGCGCAGGCACGTGTGACAGCACGTGCAAGCCCTTGTTGTAAGACAGGTCAGGTGTTGCAGTGTTGATTTTAGATTTCAGGTTCGTACCCTGCCATGGCCACAGTGTCCACGATTAAGGCACGCTGCTGGCACCGTATGTTTGTTGTTGAAAAGCCAACAACAAGTGTGGTAACAGGCAGGACCTAAGTTCTCCTTCGGCAACCTGCTCAGCAATATCTGACATTTGAGCCCAACCAGCAGAGGCAACCTAATTTTCCCAGGCACCGCCGGGTTGCGCACTTCTCCGGCCACTCCGAGAGGCTCTGCAGTTTACAGAAGTCTTTGGCACAGAATTGCACACAGCGTCCGCCTGAAGTATGGAAGATCGTATCCATGCATCATTATGCATCCATTCCATTTTGTAGAGCTGGCGAGAAGCCTCAGTCCGCTGGCACAAAATCAAGTTGCGGTAGGATATTTCGAGCTTGGGAATGCTTCAGGAGCCGTAAAGGAAGCGAGTCCGGTCCCTAGTAGACATGAACTTAGCCGCACCGAGCCTTATGTTCTTTCCTTCGGAACGTGCCAGGCGTGAGCAGCCAGGCCGGCTGCAGAGTTGTGCTGTAGAAGCCTGACTGGTTGGACCACAGCTTTGGGTGCCGTGTGGTCTATCACCGCAATAGGAGGAGTTCAGGGGATGATCCGAGAGGTAGCAAGAAGACTGCAACGGGCAGAGCTTTGAGATCATGACAGGTGTCCCCTCGAGGTCGGATGCCAGTCCGAGGCCCTGATGTAGTGGGGGTGCACCTCCAGGATTGTCATTACCCTAATCACATACAACCACGTTTGCTATGGTCAGCGCTGGCTTGAGGATATGAGAGCTGATTACAAATGACAGTAATTTGAATCCAGCAGCCAGCTTCGTGTCCCCGCAGGGCTGGACACGCCTGGACCTGGTGCTTACGAAGCTGGATATTTGGGGCGGTGCCTGCTCCCCGAGCCATTCCGATGCTCTTGTCAGAAGCTTGGATGGAGCTGACACCGCAGCCACTTGTTTTTCTGCAGATCGCGTAGATGGAAGATGATGGACCTTCTCGCACTGATCCCGTCAAAGATGGATGCTTGCCTCCATGCAACGAGAATTCTTGTGCTTTAAAGCCCACAAAGCCCCCCCAGTATGCACCCAGCACTGGCTTGGTATCAGCCTGTTTCTTTTGCCGTTCGCCATGGGAAATGTTTTTGGGAGCTGGTGGAACGCCGGCTGTCTACCGAACGCAGGCTCACCACTGCTTGTAAAGCTTCTTTCCGCTAGAAATGACATACTGCACGTCACTCTGCATTTCTGGTCCCTGTGAGGGAGGGCCTGTTGCTTGGGTACAAATGATTCGACTTGTATGCCATCCTGCATTGAATATGCAAGGCAGACAGCTTGAACAGAATGCAGGCGAACAGCCAGCCATGCTCGCGACCGTGCCACGCTCGGATCGCACAGTCAGCCCAGCCGATTGCTGATGGGCATCGCTGCTGGGTTCAAATCATATACAAATTGCCTGGCCTAGCCGAGCCAATCCTTGATCTAGCTGGCCCATCTCCTTAGCTCACAAGGACACGAAAACCAGCTGCGAATATGCCCTGGCGCTGCCGCTGTTGCCCTTCGAAGCGCGACCCAGCGCAGGTGGCGCAGTTGGAAGGCGGGCTGTGGCGAGCAGACTTTATTGGCGCAAACCCTGTGCTGCTTTCACATCATTGTCCTGATACTGCAAACTCTGCGAGCAACAAGCAGGAGAAGCTTCAGCGACTCTGGATAAAGGCGCCCAAGGTTGCCACCGCACGAGACTTGTTTGCATGGTTCAGCCGTGCCCTGCCGTAAGCATTAAGCGCAAGCCGGATTGATGCTGAATCTTACCAGGAAGCTACTGTACGCAAGCGATCCCATCCTCAACTCTTTTTCAGATTTGGGGCGCAAGCGAATCTTACCGGCCATGAGACATGCAGCACAGCTACAGTAAGGTACAGTGGACGACAAGTTGCGACAATTGGAAGATGCTCGAGAAAGTGCTGATGAGAGCAAGCTTCGCAAAGCTCTGGAGGAAGTACGCCAGGACCGCTCCTCCGACCATGCCGTGTGAAAAGTTGGCAAGCTCTCCTTTGAAGCTCGTGGCGTGTCTCAGGATGCTGAGCCTGAAGTCAAGGAGCCCAACGCCCTCGTCGAGAGCCTTGTCCAGGCAGAGGTGGCCTTAAACACGATCGTGGTGAAGCGTGCGATGAAGAACCTGAACCAGGCGCCTGGAGGGTATTGGGTGACTGAGTCTTAAATGTGGCGTGGGGATGGCTGCGCTTGGCAGCTCACAGGAAGCACAACGACATCTTGCCGGAAGTAGCAAGTGTGAGAGGAGTGACATGTGACCTTGGACCCAGGTTATCCGGAGTGGCGATGAGGCCGAGCTGCGGGATGCTATCAAGGCCAGCATCTCTTCGGCGCCATGCGCAACAGGGCCTGAAGGTACTCTCGTGCTAAGATTGAATGAGGAGAATCAAGCGCACAAAAAAGGAACTCCCACTCCGCACAGCACTTGGTAAAGCGGGTGGAACGTGCGCGTTGAACAGGTTGAAATTGCTTCATGACCATCACAGGCGGCCCGAGAGGCAGAGCTTCCTCCGCCCAAGCTCCGAGAGGCAGAGAAAGCTCTGACCGAAATGGCTCCTTGTGCTTAAAACCCTGTAAGCCGATAGATGATGCTGTCCGCGCAAATTTCCCAAGGTTCAGGAGCGTGAGCTGAAGATGCTTCGCAGCGCAACTGCTGGAGAGGATGAGACCCAGCTACGCAATGCCATCAAAGAGGTGGGATCCGAGGTTCTTACAAGAAAGCCTGCAATTAAGGGCACAAACCCTTCCAAGTTTGCAGTCACAGTCAGGCACGCCTCGCAGATCTCCCATCGAATGACGTCGACAAAGCGCAGGCACTTCAGCGTCCCGTGCGTTGATGCCTCCTCAGCATTGTTTGCTTGTGGCAAGGACGCTTTGAACGAGCTGATTCTTGCTCGCGAGCGCAAAGCACTGCCATTTGGCAAAATAAACGCAGGCTTCAGTTCGTTAGCAGTGAAGAGCTGAAGAGCTATGAAGAGCAGTGTGAGATTCCGACGCTGTTAGCTGACTTTGCTCAGGAGCGATGCCATGGACAGCGCGGATGAAATCCAGCTACGGGATGCCATCAGCGACGCCAGCAAGGTCGGCTGCAATGGTCTGACATGTGCTCGTTGCCCTGCTGATGACGCATTGATGCAAACACATTTAGGAGGGATCGCTCTTTCGATGTCTTTGGCACGCGCCAGGCCGACGTCCCCATGCAGGAACTTGACGAAGCACGGAAGTTCTTGCAGATGCTACGTGCTCAAGGGGCAATCTCATCGGGGCATCAGCTTCCAAAGAAGTACTGCAACTAGAAAGGGGTCGCTGCCACCACTGCCTGAGGCTAACGCTGAGGAGGCGGGTGGACTTGTTGCAGAAGGCCATCGACGACAGAGGCGAGGGCCAGCTGCGGGAGGCCGTGGCGGCAGCCCGGAAGGCGGTTTTGCCGGATGACGTCGAGGAAGTTGCCAGGGTCAATGCCATCCTCGGCTGCTTGGCCCTGCTTGGCGAATGTGGCTCCAAGATGCTCCGAGCTTTTTCTTTTGTCTCCTTTCCACAAGAAGTATGGCTGAGGACAGGCCCAGGCCACTCTGAAAGATATCTTCTTGGAAAAGGCCGCTGCGCTTGTTGTTGACAGACGTTGCGTACCCAAACTCATAAACTCGTGGACTCCACCTTTGTATTGCAGGAGCTCAAGCAGCTGCAGGATGCAATCTCAAGCGGCGATGAGGACACCTGGAGGGCAGGCTGAACCATGACGAAGTCTCCAGTTGGTCCACTCACAGGGCTGGATGGGGATATTTTCTGCACTCATTTCTTGCATGCAGGACCAGCTGCGAGAGGCCTTGAGCCAAGCCAGGGCGCTGGACCTGCCTGAGGACGAGTGCCGCCGGGCTTGCATGGCTTCCATTCACTCATGTAGCATTCAGGCATTTGTGTTGCTCGCATGCCGGTGCTCTGAGGCTCGCGTGCTCAAGAGGAGCTGAACACCCTTGTGCTGGCACGCAAGTTGAAGCGCTTGCGAAATGCCGCAGGCAGCAATGATGAGGCGCGCATGTGAAAGGCATGGGAATTTTTAAGGGAGATGTCGGCATTTGTGGCCGGCCGAGGACCAGCTCAGGGCCGCGATCACGGAGGCTCGCAAGGATGGGCTGCCAGCAGACGAGCTCGAGCTGGCCAACGACGCGCTCTCCGCGCTGGTACTGCAGCGCGACCTGACAGAGCTACGCGAGGCGGCAGCGAGCGAGGATGAGGAGCTCCTCCGCGAGGCTGATGAAAGCCGTAAAGTCGGGCAACAGGGCCGACCAGACATAGACTTGGCATGTGCTTTTGGCGAGCTCCGTTTGCCACAGCTACTTAAGTAGAGCTTTGCCATGTTGCTGGAATTTGCTGGGCCTAATAGACCGTTCTTCAAGTTTGCAAGGCGATCGTGGAGGCCAAGCAATTGGAGCTTCCTAGTGAGGAGGTTGACAAGGCCCAGACCGCTCTCACTGCGCTTGTGCAACGCCCTTTGGCTGGGAGAACTTGACCTTATCCTGCAATTTGAACTAGTCCTCAATTTTGTGCCACAAGAGAGATGAGTGACACCAAGGTCGCTCAGAGCGACAGCTGGAGCTAGCAATGGATTCTGACGAGTCCGAGCTCAAGGGTGCAATCGCGGAGGCGCGCAAGGTCGGCTTGTCAGAGCAGGTCATCGACAAGGCAAAGGAGACATTGAGACAGAAGGCCCAGGCTAGGATCTCGAAGTACCTTCAAGATGCCGCGGAGCTTCAAGAAGAGGACCAGCTTCGGGACGCCATCGCCGAGGCTCGCAAGGCCGACTTGCCCGCGGAGGAGGTGGAAGCAGCGCAGGCAGTCCTGACGCGCCTGATCCTGGATCGCCAAGTGGCGAATTTGCGCCTGGCCACTCAGGGCAACGAAGCCGAGCTACGGGAGGCCATTCGCGAAGCGCGCCGTCAGGAAGTGCCAGCTATGGAAATCGACAGCGCCCAGGACGCTTTGGCCTCCATGATCGTGTCCAAGAAGCTGGCCTGGCTAAGGAATGCCTCCAACACAAGGGACGAGTCAGAGCTTCGGAACGTCCTCTCCGAGCTGCGCAAGATGGAACTGCCGTCCGACGAAGTCTTGCGTATGGAGATTCAAGAGCAAGTCGCAGAGGGCCAGGCCACACTAAGCCAGATCGTCCTGGAGCGCGAGTTGGAGCAGGTGGAAGAAGCCATGAGCAGTGGAAACGAGACCCAGCTCAGGAAGGCTATCGAGCAGGCACGAGAAGCCAACGTTTTGCCCCAGGATCTGGAGAAGGCGATTGAAACGCTCAGTCAGCTGACCTCAGAGCGTTTGCGGCGTAAACTGCAAACCATGGTGGACAGCGAGGATGAGGCTGAGGTTCGGGAGGTCCTCAAGGAGGCGCGCGCCGCACAGATCGGTGGTGAGGAGCTGGAGAAGGTCCGAAATAAACTCACTGACCTCGTGCTGGTGCGGGAGCTCACGGAGGCTTACACACGGGCCTCGCTGCGCACCGCCATCGAAGAAGCCGAGCTTCGGCAACTAAAACACCCAGCGCTCGAGGTTGCCAGGCCCGGGCCTTGTGCTTTTTGACTTACCTCTTCCTTTTGTCATCTTCAATAAATAGTGATGTTTTCCTGTTTTCCTGGGTCTTCCTGCTCTGCGGCCAGGGGCAAAGTCTCCGCCATCGATCGCTTGCGAGAGGCACGCGTGTGATGGTAGGGTTCGGAAAGGCTTTCCTTCAAACGCAACGAGAGCCCCCGAGGCCGAACAGTCCAGAAACCCGCAAGTCATCGAAGAAGCCCTGGCGCAAGCAAAGAGCCTTCGAGTCGATCCGGATGTCATCAGCAGTGCTGAGGGTGTCCTGGAGAGGCCAGACTTTCTCAATGTAAATCATTCCTTGCTATGTGAATCCTTCCTTTCTTCCTGATTTCAACTGACCAGGGAAGTGGGGATACAGCGATTCGGGCTGAAGCACGACAGGGTCATTCAAGAAAGAGGCGGGCAGGCATTGCCGATTCCGGTTCAAGAACGCTTCCGCAGCACTGACATCTTTTTGGTACTGCTCCGAGTGGCCTAGCTGAATGATGAGAATAGGCAGCCTCTGCTGGTTTGTCTGCTCAATCCTGTTCATCAAATGTCCGCCAAGGTGGTGTCCAGCAGGACTTTGCATCAAGTGGCGAGGCCAGTTGCCGTGTGCAACCAAGCAGCAAGTTGCACAGTCAAAGGCTACATATCTGCTACGTGGCTGTAGCTGCTAGCTGTTGACATAGTGGGGTAAGAAATGCTCAGGCACAGCGTGGGCCGCCTGCTGCGCGGCAATCTCCAAGTGTCATCATGCACTTCCAGAATCTGCTTGGAGGCACCTCTCCGTCAACCGGGCTTAGCTCACTCCAGAGTCCTCACGTATCCTCACTTCTTGAGCTTTGCACTTGGTGGCTTCTGTCATGAAAGGCTCAACCAGTTTCTGGTCACCCCGCTTGGTTTGCTCCTTACGTTCCGCACACAGCAGTCCATTGCAAGATTCAACGAAGCCGTTACGAACTGGGGCAAAATCTCCAGCGTCTGCAGAAGCCTATCGCGTGCATTGTTCTACCATGACGCACGCGTCCCTCGAGCATCTCGTCCAGGTGTTAGGAAGCGTTGTCTAACAAGGGTGCCAGTTGAGTGCCTTCTTAGGTTCTTAGTCTTGCGTACAATGAGTGCCATAGCATACTGTTTTGCGGCTTGCACTTGGACCGGATTACCTGGCCATTGCTTGCAAAGCATGAGGAGACGCACTACGAGCTTGCGCAGCACATCTGCCTGTTCCCAGAAGTGTTGCGGGAACACCTGGAGAACAGACGCACAAAGCTCCTCAACATTAGGCGCGACGACGTCAGCAAGCCAATGGCGCTGCTTGATCGTGTGCATTCTCGCGTCTCCAGCCTGCGTCTCCTGGAGTTGTCGGAGCGAAGCTGCGAATTAGCATGTATCTGAACATGTTTGAGTGTCGAGGGGCAGGGGCAAGCAATGCTTCAAGCGTGCGAGGAGAGGAATGTGCTTCTGAAATATGTGGAGCAGCTCTCGGACCTTGTCAGCCCCTGCGAGAGCGTCGTACAAACACCAGTGCCGCAAAGCTACGTTCCCCGCCTGCCTTTCATCCTGAGTATTGGTTTATGAGGGAAGAATATTCACCTCTGCAGGTCCGGCATACTGGGCGCTTTTTGGCGGTTTGGTTGCTGACGTTACCATTGGCCCTCGCTCCAGAGACCGGCTGGCTGACGGTGCTGATTGTGCCTTGCCCATGCCCAGCTTCTTGAACAATGCTGTGGCAAATCAGCGCTTAGCTTCTATTCAGTTTGCTTTTGCATAATGCGTTGTGTTGCGCAAAGCCCTCCTCCAACCTGCAAAAAAGGAGCTAATTGCTTCCTGGGGCCTTCTTGGAATACAGGACCTGGTGCCAGGGGTTGGATTTTCGCAAGGTTAGAGCTAGATAGAGGTTTGTGTCTTCGAGTTTCTCGCAGACCAGTAAAGGAAAACACTAGCCCAGAAGGATGTGAGGCAATCGCTGGCCTTGGCCGGGCATTCGCAGACCTCTGGGTTATCGCATGGTTTTGCCTAGTCAAAGCATATGCTCGTCGCAAAGCATAGGATAGTCGTTCGTTCGCGCAATCAATACATCCCCGGACACGGACAAACCTCGTGAAACTTTGAAATGCATGGCCATGCATCAATCTGCAGATGTTCGAGATGTTGGGAGGAGATTGGCCTACGGTTGGAGGATCCGTTCAATGGAAACTTGTCTAAAAACAAATGCGCTGACCCGCCATGCTCGCGTGGTCAATGTTTTTCATTGAGCTCAGTGCAGGCCAAGTCACCATGGAGGTGTTCATAGCAACTATGGCCAAAGAGGTGCGGCAGAGATACGTCTTGGTAGTAGAAACTTGGATGCAACTTTGGGCCCTGTTTGGGTTGGTGTGGATGATGGGGATGGGCAGGGCCATGCATCAGTGGCAAATCCATGTTCAGGAAGACCTACTCCAAGCTCATGCAGAAAACCAGCTTGAAGATATGTCCCGATGCTGGTCTCATCGATTTGACGCGCGATTTATGCAAATCTTGCGCGAGGAACAACGTCTAGCCGTAGAAGAGTGCCCCAGCTGCACGCTGCGCAACTTTGCGAACATGTTGGTTTTTTCTTCCACTGCATGACAATTTTCCTGAAAGCGGGACTTGCTTGCTTGCCTGCCTAGAGCTTGCAATCTCTGCCTAGGAGCCGGCGAGCATCGCTAGCGGCTGTATTGGATTCTGTCAAAGAATGGCGGGAAAAGACGGGAAAAGAGTGAATCTGGGCGGGTTTGGACGACTCCAAGGTTGCTGTTGAGCCGCCCGCAGGCGTCCCTCGACACAGGCGTCTTGGCCGTTTGGCTGCTCCACCGCAACAGGGCGCTTTGAGACCCCGGAGTCTACGCCAGGGCTGGGGTCTCAGTTCCACATACTTGCGCCAGCTTGCCTTCTTCCATCGTCAGGCCTGGCGACTACGAGTCCAAGCCGGGCTCCATGTTCCGAACTTAGGAAGCATGCGTGTCACGCGCGTCGATGCGACAAATTTTCGGACTTGAGACCAGCCGGAAAGCTTGTTCTGTTTCGGGCTCACCAGCTTATCTCAACTTCTGATCCTTGCTCGACAAATCGTTGCCACCAGCAGCATGCCCCAAAACGAACAAGTATGAGTCAGCAATCCTTGCATAAATAGAGCCCACACCCCAAAGTCCTCTTCCAGTATAGAAATGCAATGAGTGCCGATCCCGACCCATGGGCTGCTCTCGACGACGAGAAGGAGTCTGTCGGGGACGAGGATGCAACTAAGCACATCTAAGATCAACGAAGCAGATGTTGGCCGTGAAAGACCATGGAAAGATATGCTGCAGACAGCACCAAGACAATGAGGTTGAAGTCGTCGTTGAGGAAGAGCCGGAGCTCCCCTCAGCCAAGGACAGGCTATGCTAACTGTCGAGTGTGGCCACATAGATCTTCTTGCAGGCGACCGGTGCCGACCCTGCTCCATGGGTTGCCCTGGACGAAGAGGAGGAGTCTGTCGGAGAAGAGGACATGGGGTGGTGTGTGTTGGCCTGAGGTTGAATTCAGTCCAGTCTGCAGTGTCTGCTTTCAGGAGTGGCAGCTTGAGGTCGACAACGGCGAGGTAGAGATCGCAGTTGATGATGCGGATCTATTTCTGGATGATGCAATGCCAGCGCTTGGGCAGCCACAGCTTGGAGTAAGTTGCTGCCGCACTCACGCGAGCTTGACATCACTTCTAGCACCAACCGAGATCTTGTATCTGATGTGTCACGTGTGGGATTTTGTGAAGTACGCTAGGAACACGCAGTGTCTACAGCCTTTGAGGAGCTACAAGAAGAGTTCGAGGAACTCAAAGATCTGGCAGAGGCGGAGACAGGAACTTTGGGCAGTGAAGGCGATGACCCAAAGCAGGCAGGAACGCGTCTGAGTGGACTGCTATGGAGGCTGCCAGGAGTCTGTAGCTAGAGTTAGGGTGTCTAGTGCTACGCGTCGCCGCTGGGGCATCACATGGAGTAAATTTCAGACAAGCCCAGGCGGCGGCTGCATGTCTTGCATGCAGGGTGCAACAGTCTTGGGTTCATGCAGGGATCAACCTCCGCGCAACTGCTGCATTGTGAAAGTTCAAACTGCTTGGAGGGCGAAAGCGACGAAGAGATCGTGCCCGGAAGGGAAGATGACATGAAGCTGTCAGATGTTCCGGAAGACATGCGGGAAGCTGTCCAAGGCTCGTGGAAAGCCAAGACAGTCGGAGGCATTTCGTCGCTTGTTTGGCCATCTCAGGCAGTTTGAGCTTGAAACGCGTCCTGGCAGAGAAGTACGGGAGCTACTCGGCAGCCTTTGGCAGCCTTTGGCAGCAGAAAGCCGGTTCGGCTTTGAAATGCCAAGGCCTCGAGTCCGAGCCTGCCGCGAAGAGGCGCCGGGAGGAGCCGCCTTTGGAAGGCGTTCGCCAACGGCTGCTGGACCGCTGGAAGCTTAGCTGGGACCCGGCAGTGAGGCAGGGGAAGCATTAATCAAGTGGATCGAAAGATGCAAAGAACGCAAGCAGCGCGGCCGCGGGCCGCAGGCCTCCTTGTGACAGGTACGTGCTGCAGACTGCTGAGCTGGCAGACGTCGAGGGATTGGCAAAGACCACCTGGAAGCCGTTGGCCAACCTGTCCAGATTGTTTCGCACATATGCGCGTTGAAGTGTACGTCTAATCATGTTGCCTTGCCAGGCGAATCCTCCGCGAAACAACGGTCGTGATCCAAAGTCCAATGCCGAGCAAGTGAACGAGAAGCTCCTCTTCGTAAGAGAGGAGAAGCTGTGCTCCAAAGAGACGGTGAACGTACTGCAAGCCTGGACCGGGAGGCTGCTCTCCGCATGTAGGATTTGCTCACAGAGAGTGCGCGTTGGGTCACACTGTCAAGCGAACGATCTGGAAACGCAGTGAGGGCACTCCCACAGAAATCTCCAGTGGCGCGGGTTCTCACCATGTCTGGACAGCCTCAGCGTGAAACCGCTTGCGGGCGTGCAAACTGCCTCTGCCTAGCAATTGCAGAGCTCTGTTATGCTAATTGAATTGAACATGTAAAGTTTTTTGAGTACGCACGTGCAGCAAGAGCATGGCACAAAGCTCGGTCATTGCAAGGCAAAGGCAGTTGGCACATGATTGCATTCGCCACCTTCCCGTTGGTACGAATTGGACTTCCCGAGGGCTTACCGTGGGCGGTTGGAAGGTGTCACGCGGTTTTGCCAAGCACGAATGCCAGCCATTTGGTAATCATAGGTTCTCAGACGGTTTTGCGGGCTTTGCTGAACGGATTACGTGACAGGTGGAATCTGCGCGACAATGACACGCAGCGCCTTCGTTCAGCCAATCACAAAAACCTAAGAAGCTTGGATGTCGGATCTGTCCACAACGGGTTCAGGAAATGCTTTGCTGCACCTCTGCTGAGGATATGTGATGAAGGAGTATGATGGAAAGCGGCCCATCCCAGAACTACTAGATGAGGCAGCGGCTCAGGTCATCTCAGAGGACAGCGAGCAGACAGAGGACACCAACTTTGCCCTCCTGCTGGCCTTACCGTTACCGCAACCTTGCTGTCACTCACGCGAAATCGCGGTATGCAGGATGCAATGCCCGAGTCTCCCGGCCTCTTCACCCTGAGCAGGCCCAGAGGCTCAATTTGTGGCCTTGCTCAGTCGCTCCAAGGGACCAAATGGTTAGGTTTAATCGCCTGGAGCTGATCGACTCCATGGCAGATGCTCTGGTCCTGGGCCTGCGGCCCAGGATGTCCCAAAAATGCATTCGCAAAAAACTCTTAGTTTCTCTCCCGAGTTTTCTTGAAGTTCCAGTGCCGGGTGCCACTTAGGCGATGCCAATTTGACCTTCTCGGCGCTGCTTGCTGAGCACCGAGAAGGCCGCATCCATTGCCTTCGCTGTAGCTGGATAGCGGATAGCTGTGTCTTTGCAGGGCTGGGGCACGTGGGGCGCGTGGTTGCGACAACCTTCGAGACGATCGAAATCCTCCGAGAGCTGCTTGGCCGGCACTGGGAAGGCCACATCCATCCACGGCTTTGGGCGGATCTTCGCTCCGTGACGCTCTGCAGCCCAGGCGCTATGCTGAGATTGATCAGACGGTTAAATCCTTGGAAGACAAAATGTGTGAAGCTCAGCTGCTGCTAGCGGACTCTGCCAAGCGTTGTTGAACGTTCTCGCAGGTCCGAAGTGCTCCACAATGTTGACGCCACCAGGCATGATGTCTGTGACGCACTGTGGGTCTAAGTCCATTGGCGTCCCACTCTTGCGCAAGCCTCCACAGATAGCGCTAGTGCCGTCGTTCTGGGAAGATCTCTTTTTTTTGGTACGAGGTCTTTGCCTCGATGAGCATTTGGGTAATCAGAGAGAGGTGATGGACTGTGTCAGGGATGCATAGCGACGGCTTCCCAGACTTTGGACGGCATCTGTTTCCACAAGTCTGTGCGGATCGGATGTGGAGAGATTGCAGGCTTGCAGTGGATCCGCGCTTCAAGGGCATGGAGAAGAAGTTTGGCGCCGTGTACTACAACTTCCCGCACGCAGGCGGAAATTGTTGTCCCAATGCCATAGTTTGTGGCTAATTCGCATGGAGACACTGTCTGTCATGTTGGACTGTTGCAGTGCTCTCCGGTATTCGGCACTCAAACATGGCTTGGCCTTCAGGTGCAATTCAAGGTTTCTTTGATGGCCATCCATTTGTTCGCACAGCCCTAAGTTGTGAAGCACCCTGACCTGACCACCACTGGGCCTTGGTTCCTGTACTGAGGCTGGCGACATGAAAACTTGATGATACTGGGTGGCAGAGTCCCAACATATTTTCAGTCTGTTGTAGCAGTGCCTGAACAGCTCAGGCACTTGTTCTTCAGGGCCTTGCGCTGCTTCGTCAAGAAGGGTGGCGTTGTGAAGGTGCAACATGGTCAAAAGCATCATAGTGCCATTTCCTTATAAACGCTGCTCTGGCAGGTAGCTTCAAACTGCAACGCCACTGGCGTGCGCTACTCCGACATCATCCTCGGGGCGTGTCTCGGCCGGCAGTGCAGTTCTTCAATTCAGTCCCTTCGCAAGCTGCAACTCCAAGGGCAACCCCAACAGTGTTAGCCTAGACAGAGAGTATGCGCCGATGGGGATTCTTCCAAATAGTCACTGATGAGCCTTGCAAACAAAACACGACACACACTGCGCCCTGTTGTCGATCTCTGACGAACCTTGTAAACCAACAAATACCTACAACAATACCAAAAGATAACTTGAGGAAGGACATTGTCAGCAAGGGACGGGTCGGGCAAATCTCTGCACGAGCCCGTGCCGTGTTTTGCCAAGCTCTTGCAACACAAGCCAGCTTGTGGGTGACGGAGGAAAAAAGTTGTGGCCAGCAAGAGTCAATACCAAGCAGCGGCTGTACACAACGATGAATGTAAGAATTTGATTCTGGAAGAGGGTCAGGAGGGGCCAAAAGAGAGAATCGGAAGACAAGCCCTCCGCAACTCAGCATTGACATGGCCGCGGTGTTGGTTAGAGTGCCTGGAGAGCTGCGGGCTGCGAGGCCTAAGATTGCCGCAGGCAGTGAATGTTCTGGTATTTTGTTCGATGTACCCTCGATTTAAAGTCACGACACGCAGTTGTGACAGAGATTCCTCTCGAATGGTCACAACATCTTTCCCTCCATGCTTGCTGCAGGCAGCAGAGTGAGTTTGCCCATGTGGAAACCTTTCCCTTCCTGGAATGGCAGCTGCTTATCTCAAACAGTGATCAATGCCTACTATGTCGTCAGTCAAAACCTCCAAGGCTCCGAAACTATCGGCGCTCTTATGGCGACCGCCGCGACAAAGGTCGCCGGCCGGAAGACGGCAAGAACTACCGGGCTCAACGGGCTGAGAGGGACATGGTCTACTGATCCTCGCCGGCACGGATGGGGTTGTACATTTCGTATCGCCCGCGCCCTCCACTTAATGTCGTGGGAGACATGTCGAAGTCCAGTTGCATGCCAACAAACTTCTGTTGAAGAAGTGACCGTTGCAGCGGAAGCTTGAGTTGTTTGATGGCGCGCTCCTAGTCTCTTTCGTCTCAGGCTTCCGCTACGAGTGCCTCGGTACCGTTGGCTGTCTAGATTGGCATTGCTCAATGTGCGGTGCATCTGTGTCAGATTCAAGATGCATCTTTGGGGAAATGGTGTCCAAACCATGCAGGCCTTCCGGAGAAAATCCGCAGAAGCCGACTGTGCGAGAGCCGCCATCCAAAGTCCTTCGCTCAGAAACCTTCAGACAAAAGTTGTCAATGAGGGAAGGTCTACAGATCAACGTGCACAAGTCTCTTTTTGATGCGTGCGTGTGCAGGCTGCATCGGAGCAGCACACGACATGCGTTTGATCTGGTTTTCTTGCAGGCGCAGCTGATGGATGCGAGAGAGGGCCGGCTGCAGAAGATGTACGGATGCTCTGCCTTTGAACTATTAAACACGCTCTGACTCCCCGCTCTTTTCAGATGGTAGTTGGCGCACGGGGGCAGCAGTGATAGCTGCAGCAGTAGTTGTCCTACTGGAGGGTTCGTGGTAGAATCGCAGTAGCAGGAGGAGGTGGCTTCGTCATTGTTGTCGTAGTAGTCAGTTGCAGTGGCCCTTGCATCATTTCTGCTACCACTATTGTAGCGATGGTGGATTGGAAGAAAGAGGAGGAGTCCATACACATCCGAAAAGTAGTCGGAAGCAAGGGCACCCTTGGCACTGTGGGGAAGACAGATGGCAACTGTGCAAATCCTTGCCAGTAGTGCTTCATGTAAGGAAAAGAGCGGGAAAGGCGAGTCCAGGCTGGGTGCCGCCTGGATTGCCATCGTTGCTGCCACATTTGATGCTGTTGTTTTCGATGTCGTTGCTGCTGCGCTTGTTTTTGCTATCGTGCTGTTGGTCATTGTCGAGCCTGTCTGACTCGCCATGGCCAACGGTATCTTCAATCCAGTGTTGGTTCGACTTGTTTGGCTAGCTCTGTTGAGCATGCAAAGGCATGTATTTATAGCTGCCAGTGCCAACTTGCTGTTTATGGCTTTCTTTGGCAGGAGATCGGTGAGCTCTTCAAAGCTTATGCGGCAGGAGTTCATGTGGGTTGAAGCCCTCTGTGAAGGGGGGCGGTGGTGGCAATCTCTTGTTTATGGAGCCGATAGTATAGCGTGCGAAGAGGCTTGGAAAAAGAGCCGGGGCGTGTTGCAAGCCTGATCGCCGTGCTCCAGTCATCGCAATGCTGCTGAGCGACCCATGCTGGGTTTGTGTCAGGTAAGGTTTCAGCACTGATGTCAAGTCCCCTATGTAGACTCCGGCCCTGTGTATGGCTGCTGACGCTGAGGCATGTCCAGCAACTTGCTATAGGCGCGCTGTGGATGCCGACCTTGTGACAGCGCGCAGGAATGCGCGTACTACTACAGTATTGCTACTGCTGGGAACATTCAGCGTAGATGTGCTAGTAATTGCTACCAGTACATCTTCCAACTCGTCATGCTGTCGCATGTACTGTGCCGGTGCAAGCCTTGCTGGCCTCATAGCGAGGTGATTACATATATACCTATACGGCTGCCAGCAAGTTACTGTAGTGCAACCTCCGTTCCCAACCGGTGGCTTTGTAACAGACTGCTCTTGATTCACTTTGGTGTGTCTTGCGTACGAGGTAATCTAGGCTTGTGTCTGGGATTTTGTGCTTTGTTCCGCTAGGCCGCTAGGCTGGAGCAGCTGCGGTTCATCCCCTCGAAAGATAGCAGTAGTAAAACAGGATCTCAAGCCCTCCAAGCAGGTAGAGCCAGCTGAGACTGCCCTTCCGCAATTGGAAACCCTCATCGGTCTTCTGTCAGATTATACTTCCTTTCGGAAATTGGAGCCTCCCACAAGGTACCCCTCAAGTTAGGGCTGGCTCATCAATGGTCCGCGCAGCGGAGTGACAGGGATCATCCTGGCCAGTTGTGGTAACTATTGGTAACTTTTACGTTGCAATACGTTGCAATACGGTACAGGGGAACGACCTAAGCCGTCGTAATTGAGGTTTGGTACAGGGCTTCTTGGTGTGCCGCCGAAGGCCGACCCCAAAGTGGCAACGGCAACGAGATGCCAGGCCAGGCTGTAAGAACAAGAGGGCCTAATAGGGGCAAGCGCTGGCACAATGAGGGCTCCCCACTTCAAGCAAGCAAGCTCATTAGGCTTCGGTTCCTCCACGGTGCCACACCCAGCAAGCATTTCCAGATGAACTCTTTATCTCGTGTGTGCGTATAGGGTGGTATGAAATGCCCTGGCCGCCGAGGCAAGGAAGATTGTCTCGAGCCTTTCTCCCAGCTGTTTCGTTCGCTGTGGACAGAATGGACCAATTTACAGAGACACTTTTGGGGTGCCACTGAAGCATGGAGCACATGCACAGCCGCACCGCCCCCGTGTCCAGGATCTGCATTTCAAGGTACATTCCGGACTGCCTAATAGTCATCTACCTCCCTCTCCCAACCTACATGGCACCAGATGCTCGCTCCTGTTAGTTGCAGGCCCTCGGAGTCTGTCTCCCAGTGCGTCTGTCAGCAGCGCCAAGGGCAACCAGCTCGGCCCTTGGATTCAGGGTTTGTCTTGGCCTTTGGCAGCTCATCGCCAGCACAAGGCCTGCGTGGATCGGGGGAACGCCATCTGACGTTGGGCCCGGCCCCGACCTGCATTTGCAAAGCTGAATTTTGTCCATGCTGCACTGTTGAGCTTTGGAGATATGGATCTGAGGCCTGGGTCATATGAGTCGCACAAGCCCTCCCTTGCACGAGCCGCTGGCGCAAAGCCACAGCTCCCAGAGACCATGTCATGCGAGCGCATACCACTTAAATGGACTCCTTTCCATATCATTCCTGAATTTAAGATGCTGCCGCTTTGGTGGCGGTTTGTTTGCAGTAGCAGGAAGACGTGAGATGTCAGCGAGGTTCGCAGCATCCCACCGCTTTGCTCCTCCGGATAGGAGCTGCTCGTTTGAGCTTCGATGTAAATGGAGTCGGGTATGGCTGAGTCGTGTTCCAGGACTTTGTCGTCGCCCGGACCCGGCGAGTGCTCCTCTTTCACTGCGGCTGTTACAGAGCAAAGCCGCTGCAGCGATGGCTGGCAAGGTACGATCCACCTCCAAAAAGTTGGAAGCCCAGAGTGCTGGCATATGCTGGCATGCGTTCCTCGAACATGCAGCACTGCTTGCTAGCCGGAAACCGGCTCATCCGGTGCGACATGTTTGTGTCTTCACTTGCAGCAGGCCGTCCGAAGGGACACCGATTTCCCAACACAACGTCAAGGCTGGTGAGGGGATTCGGCTGGCATAGATGACAAGCCTACCTGCGTCGACCTCAGACACGCAAGGCCGAGCATCACGGCGCAGAGCGCGTCGAAGTTAGGTGCCCCCGGCCTGCCTTGACGCTTTGCAACAGTATGAAGGCATGTACCCGAAAATGCTTACGTCGACTGTACATTCTGCGACGTGCCCATTGCCAACTTGCTTTCGGATTTGGTGTGGTGGGTAGGAACACGGACAGGGACGCCCGGCCCTGCCGCGTATGACACCGTCTCAGCAACGCGGGGCATCATAAAGCGCATGCCGGTGCCTGGCCTCAGAAGTTGTGGCATGCCAGGGTTGTCCACCTGAGCTTGTTGAGACAGCATCTTGGCAGGGGTACTCCATGCCTGGCCGACCCAGAGAGGCCCGAGAGACCTCTCCCGGGCCCAGGGCTCAGGCATGTGTTGAGTTATGTTGAGTTGTTGAATTTGTTTTATGGTTATGGTGTCGCAATTTCTTTGGAGACAGCTGCCAGGATCGGCAAAGGAAATCTGACCTATGTACGTCGTTGGGTGCATCAAGACAAGAAAGCACTGGCTTCATAGTTGGGCTTCCAGGGGCGCGAAGGTCATAGGTCAGTGTTGAGCATCTCCTGAAAGGCCGCGTGCGACAACCCCCCGACAAGGGCTATAAACAAGAGGGGGATGAGAGGGCGACACGTCAACAGGAATGCAGCTCTGATAAAGACCTCAACACGGAGGATTGAATGATCGGTCCAAAAATGCGGCGTCATCAGGAGCAGGATCCCCTCCCAGCCCAGCCCAGCTATCGACACATCAACAAACCAGATAACTGGCATTGGCAATTTCATTTTGGCCCGCAGCGAGCAGCTACCGCAAGGCCGGCAGACTATGGCGGTGCCTACACATTGCCAACGCACCCAGCTTCCAGCGGCAGATGCTGCCACAGCATGCCACAGCTGCCTTGTCGGATGTTGATACGCGCAATTTTGAGGTTCCGATGACCTGCAGACCGTACATTAAGAGGTGTGGCCCCCCGTTGCCGCTGTCATTTGCGTTGCCTGGAGTGTCTGCACAATTGCGCCATTCAGCACGGAAGAGTCGCCGTACTTGTCAGGGTGAGTCATGCGCCGCTAATATCAAAAGTTCAGGGAAGTTCAAATGCTAGCTGTGCTAGGCTGCTGGCAACTACACTGACGGCACACAGTTAGCACGTCAGCAATAGTAGCAAGTATTGTAACAGCCCGGGTATCGCACGCTCTGCCATAGCTTGCCTCAACCCATTTTTCATGCATGGCCCGGCGAGCTTGGCACATCATGGGTTAACATACATTGCCATCATAGCTTTCAGAGCCACGTTGACTTAGAAGCTTGTATGTTCCGCCATGCCATGGTAGGTGTGGGTAGGCATCGCCATGGCCCCATCTTTTGTGGAACCTTTACCTGGCTGCAAAGACGCACAGGCAGGCTGCTACAAGGGGCTCCCCTCTGCAGGGCAGTCGGGGCAGTAGTGGTCCGGATGTTCATGATTGGGATTTCAACTGTGTGCCACATGGGCCCGTCCCAAAGTGTTATATACCTGGTTACACAGGGTATCTGTGGACAGAGCGCACGTTTTGCAAACCTCCCAAAACATAACCATGTGAGCAGCCGCGTTCATTTCCGTAAGCGAGTAGAAGCTAGGCGCGTCGGTTTTTCCTGCATCTCAGTTCAGCATTCCTCTGGGAACTAGATAGAGGCAACGGATTGAACGAGATAAGCCAAGCCCAGCACATATTCCAACATGGCGAATCTGAAGGAGATTTTGGTTTTTTGTCAATGTAAGCTACAAGATCAAATTATAAGGCGAACGAGATGAGGGCCCGCGGAGTCAAACTACCGTAGAAGGCCCAGGCACAAACAGAAATTGTCGCTCATGTGTACTGTAGAAGCTGAATCGTGACCAGGTCAGTAACATGTTGGCGTTTCATGGGGCATGAACACGGCTGTTCGGCCGATCCCCACATGGTTGAGGGCAGAGGCTGCCATGTGATTCGGAAGTCTAAGCCAGTAGCAACATCGAGGTGCAATAGTGACACCATACTTCTCAAGTCTGGGGAGTGTGTGCCTCCCTTTCTCGCGTAAAGCAGCTCCCATGGAGAGGTGACCTACAATTATAGCTCTGGAAACGACCTGATCTCCTTGGCATCCGAGAACTAGCCATTCCCCGGGGCCTAAATAGTCCTTAGTGCAACCTTGCGCTGCTTTGATAGCCATGCAAGCGGCAAAATAGTCCTTTATTTGAAGAATGCCATGGAATGCATTCTGTGCTTCCATGCTATTCATCTTGCAGCTTCTTAATGCGTCAGTAAACACTTCGCACCACGTGCTTAGGGATGCAGTTGGCAATCGAGAATGCTGGATGGCACCCTAAACTATTGACGTATATTGACGTCCGGACTTGGACCTCTACCCAAGTAAGATTCTGGTGACGGTGCTTTGTGTAAATGCGTTGCGATCGGTTTCATTTTGACTATGTGAGGGGCCATGGACCAGAAAAATCTACTATAGATCAGAAGTGGAGCTGCTGATGCAAGCAAACATCACCCGCGGTGAAGGGTTCAGTGTCGAATCTGCGGCGCTGCATGGCTGGCCCAAGCAACCATCGTTTTCACATGCATACAGCGTTGGAAATGGTATCTAAAAGCAGAGCAGGCTGAGGGTCGTACCTGGCCAGGCAAGAGCGTACTGTAGGGAATTCAGCGTTGTAGTGATGGGGGCAGCCGAGTCCGAGCCAGCTCCGCCAACGGGCCCCAAGGAGCAAAAGGTGCGGGCTGTGGATGGCACTCTGCTGCCAAGCAAGCTGTTTGCCGCGCAGGATTCTGCTGGTAGAGCACTGTGAGACGCCGCAAGGCATGTACAAAAGATTCAGATGGCGAGGACAGCTTTCAGTCCCAGCGCGGGGCTACGGTTTTCGTCTTCCTTCATGGCTTGTTCGAAAGGACTGACGGCTGTTTGTTCGCAGGTTGCGGAATTCCGAGCCATGTGGTCTTGTCAAGGATGAGCAACTACGATGAGACATCTACTGCAGCAAACATGCAGAAGGTGCCATTACACTGACAGTTTGCCGTTGGTGACCAGCCTGTGAGAGATACAGTCTGATGATGTCTGATGTATGCAGCATGCAAATGCAGGTCTTCGAGGCGATGCCAGATACTGATTGCCGGCCCAACATTGTTTTGTTCGACGCTCGGGGCCACGGCACCAGTACCGGTTGGGAAAGAGGAGGACCGGAGCAATTTCATTGGCGATGCCTCGGCGTGGACATGCTTCAGGTTGCTGCTGCGCACACGGAGCAGCCCTGGGATCCGAGTTACATTCTGGGAGGGTGTAGCATGGGTGCTGCAGCGGCTGTTTGGGCCGCACTTCTCTCACCGCGGAAGGTGCGTGGACTTGTTCTCTACATGGTCCCAACAATGTGGGCGAGCAGACAGGCCCGACGAGGCGTCCTCGAAGCAAAGGCGGCGTCTGCTCGTGAAACGGATCCTGTAAAAGCTGAAGTCATGCTTGGTGCCGCGCGTGCAGACTTCCCTCCCCGGGAAGACATGCAGAGACTAGCGGCAACAGGGATCCCAGCACCACAGCATGAAATTTGGAAAACCGCCAAAGTTCTAGTTGGTTGCAGTGATCACGTAGTCTTAAAGCACAATTCCTAGGTCCTCGTGGTGAATGCGCGTGAAGATGCGATCCACCCCATGAGCTCTGCAGAGACCATGAAAGAGATCTTTGGCCAAAGTGCAACTCTGGTGGTCGTTGACAAGGCTTGCCTGCATTCGAAAGAGCTCAAGAGAGTCACTTGAGACCCGTGCCTTACAGGTGGAGGATGCCCCCAGTGTCTTCATGCAGGAGCTCATCAAGTGGCTAACATCCCTGCCAGTTGCCAGCAAAGAGCGATGAGTCCGCTGGCTGGCAAAGATGCGAATCTTTTGTGTTGTCTGTACAGGAGTAATAGACTCTGCCTATGTGAGCTATTGCTGCGTGCAAGCTGGTGAAGTGTCGCAAACGCGTGTTGCGTCCCAGCCTTGGTTGTTGTTTGCCTGACCCTCTTTTGTTAGAGACCTGCTTCGCTTGGAGCATGCTGTAAACAGAGAGGGGTCGGAGTGCGCTTGCGGCTGTCCTTCAAGGAAGACCAAGATCAACACTCCCGGGAACTTTCCCAGTAAAGTCACGCAAACTTGTCTTAATATCTTACGGAAGGCGTCAATTTTGAAGACCGATGCTGTGGAAGGCTGTCGCGCTTGAGCTTGTAGATTGGAGCCGGCATGGCCCTACATGCGGGAAGGCTTACAGCAACTACGGCTGCAATCGTAGAGAGATAAACGCCAACTGTCTGATACAGCAGGGACACAAATGTACTCTTCGAATGCAGTCGAGCGAGTAAAGACACCGTTCCGCACAACACATGCCAGCCAACAGCGGCTTTCAACGCAACTCCGCCACTTAGCATCGGCACCATGTTTCTCATGTCGTGAGGCGATCATGGCAGGAGCGCGGCAACAGCTCAAGCAAATCGCAGAGACGGTGCCGCTGAAGCAGGTCGAGCAGCTGTTGGCCTATGCGTCAGAAAATGGCATCGTGTCAGAGGAAGATGTGGACAAGCCAGAGCAGCTTGTCGACATCCGAATTCTTTTTCCATCTGGTGAAGTCGCGATGCAGCAGCAATTCCCAGACAGAACATCCATTGGTGCTTTGCTTCAGACCTTGAGCGCGCAAAATGATGCGTGCCCAGGAAGACTTTCTTTGCTTCACGGCACTGATGTGCTGAAGCGGCAGACAAAGCTCAAGCATCTCAACCTTGCGGAGGATGCTTGCCTGTACCTCGTCAAAAGAAGCCCAGGCACGTACACGGAATGGAAGGCAGCTGGGACTGTGGATGGGCAATATGACTACCTGGCAAAGTGTGTGATTCTGGGTGCTGAATCAGTCGGAAAGACTGCGCTGCTCCGCGCCTTTGGCCGCGAAGGCTTCCTGGAACACATCCCGCACACGATCGGCATAGACTTCAAGATAGTAAATCTAAAGTCAGAGGACGGCCTGAGACTCAAAGTGCAGCTGTGGGACACCGCAGGGCAGAATCGCTTTCGAACCATTACCAGAAGTTACTTGAGAGGTGCAGATGGCTTCCTTGCCGTGTTTTCTTTGCAGCGTCGTGCTTCTTTGGAGGAGCTTAGTGACTTGCTCGAGGCCGCAGAGGCCAATAACCCAGACGCGTCCCGCTGCCTCTGCTTGGTCGGTACACATGCAGACCTTCCAGATCCAGAGGTGACGAGGGAAGAGATTCTTCAGTTGACAGCCAAGAAGAAGTGTCCATATTTCGCTGTGTCGAGCAAGACTGAGTCGGGCATTGATCCGCCCTTCTTTGCTTGGCTGGATGCCTTCCTTGAGCTGAGACCTCACTAGAGACGAGTCTTTCAGCTCACCTTGCGCTGGAAACAATTTTGCCAGTTGCAGTTTCCTGATCGGGGTCTGCTATCCCGACTGAGAACGCAGTAGCGCTCCCAATTTACCCAACCAATTACCAGTGCTTTCACGCAGCACAATCTGAATTTCCCGGAATGCCCGACATTTAATGGATGCCGAGTTTCAGAGTGGTTGGTGGGCTTGAATTTGTACTTCCTGCTTCACACCGCCATGCCCTGCCAACAGGCGTCTGAGCTGGAGGATGTGGCGGACCCACTGAGCACACTTGTTCAGGTCGGACATGGCTTGAGAAACGGCTCGTGGATCAAAAGGACACTGCCTGAAGTTCGGAACACCCAGCCTGCCACAAAGCTGGCCATTTGCCCCTTGCGCAGGAGCGTCGTGAACCTGACCTCACAACCGTACCAGTACAGAATAGCTCGGCAAAAACTTGAGAAGCTAAATTCGGGTTTCTGGCAGAGCTGCACCTTCCTCCACCTGAGAGAGAGGGAATGCAACCGCACAGCAGGCATCGCATTCGTTCTGCAAACATGTGATGCAACAAGCACTTCTGGCAACTCTAGCACTGCCGTCCAACAGATCAGACGTGCAGACTTGTGGTAACTCATATTAAAATGACGGAGCAGCCTGCCAAATTTAAAGTATATGCAACCTCCGCTTTGCATGAACCTCCTTGGTTCACAGCACGGCTTAGAAGGTTGGGGTCATGAGCAGGAAGTGGATTCCAATGCACGTGTGGAGATCCAACTGAGGAAAGGATGCACGCAAGTAAGCCTCAAGCGGCATAACGAATTGGAGTCCGCGGTTCCATCGAAGATCCGGAAGATGTTCGATGCTGCAAGGGGGCTAGCAGATTGTTGGCGGTTCTTGGGCTTGAGTGCAGCTGGGCGTTCGCGACGCAGTGCTCGAAGTGTTGCCGAGCCACTGCCGAAACCGATTGTTGTCAGTCGTCGGGCTGCAAATCACGCCGTGGAGGCCCCTCTGTCGCGGTATAGCTGCGAGAGTGGTGGCCGGGTAGTGTCTGAGCGTTGGCCCTGCAAAGCATGGGAGACGTCATGACCCCTTCGCCTGCGAAAATGCTGTGACATCATACTGCATGGAGACAATCGCCTGGGCTGTTGAACTGAGAACAGTTTTGAGGCGCAGCTTTTTGAGTCTATCGTGACATGCGCGACTAGAAGAGTGAAGCTGCATGCTCACACAGGGAGCCAGGGCTAGCTACATAAGCCGAATCTGGCACAACTTAGCACAAGACCTTCAAGCATCCAGAAGCTTCATGGAGGCCTCATTGATAACGAATTCGTGTCCACGAAAAAAATATGTTTAAAAGTTGTTTGCTGGAGAAGCCTTCTGTTCCGATTGATGGAATGTGCCTGCATATGCTGAGCGGCGCTGTACACCATGGGCGATGAGGCCAGGCTGGAAGAAGAAAATGGCTGAATCTGCCACTCACAACTCTTGCGCAGTGATAGTTATTGCAAGAGAAAGCGGATGTCTGCAGCTTGCAGGCGTCGCTACGATTTACGGGCGTGTTGGGCCCCCATTCGCCATCAGAAAAGCAGTCTGATGCGCACGGCCAGGCCTAAGGCATAGAAGATAATAGAAGGTACAAAGGGCATGAAGGGCAGTAATACAGTAAGCAGAAGAAGGCAGAAGCTGCTTTCCGATTCTGGGTTGAGGGTCCCTCCAACTCGCTGTTGCTAGAAGCTGCTAGCAGGTGCCCATCAGATTTCCAGATGAAGGACAGGCTCCCAGAACCAACTCACAAGCATGTATCAGGGTTCGCGTCAGAGAGAGTGTGCTTCTCGGGACGCCTGTGGAGAGCTCAGGTGGTACCGCCTCGGACGGGCCCGTGTTCAGGCATGGTGCTACCCTGTGTCTAGAGATGTTGCGTATCAGCAGACACTGACAGAATGGGCATGGACGCTTTCTGACCAGGCAAGAGACGTCCTCGGCCGGGAGGCAATGTCCTGAAGCAAGCTCCTGCTTGAGTCTGTCCTGTGTGGTCTCTGGACAAAGCATCGTGGCCTGGCATTGCTTGGCATCTGGAGCTTGAGAGAAGCAGCGCAGGCTTCTTTTCTCGGTCAAAACCTGCACCGAGAGAGGACGAGGCCAGCCAGTCACAGCAGTGTGGAACAGATGGCCGCAACTGCCGAAGATTTCAGACAGATTCGCGGAATGCCCTAGACTTCAAGCCTTGCTGCTCATTCCCTCAGCCGTCTGGTACACTAGAACCCGCACAGTTCAGCGCATGTACCTGCAGAGCACGTTGACTGGCAAGCGCGGCCACGACAAATAGGTTCACAAATCGGCCGCAATCAATCATTGCACAGCAGGCATCTGAATAGCAGCTTTTGCAACGCGAAAACTGAGAGACCAGACATCACTGGCCAATGGTGAGGCAAGGATGTCAGAGCTGAACAAAGAAGAGATTCTTGGGCTTTGGCGCCTGCGGTCCTTGTTCCATTGCTGCTACAGTATAGTTTGCAGCAGGAAAATGTTGCCCAGGTGTTGGCGGGTCTTGTGCTTGTGGCATGGCATTCTTGCTGGGTCGGCTCAGGCTCCACGAGCTGAAGGCTAACCTGTTTGATGCTTTGGCTCGTGGTGAGAAGTGCATCCTGAAGCTCGTTGCTGGCTCACTTGACACGCCTCCCATAGATGGTGCTTGCTCGGCTATCGTCCGGGCCTGCCATGAACACCTCCAGATCTGCAAGCTGGAGATAGAACCTTGATTGCAGTTCCTGTGTCCAGCTGTTAGCTGAGACTTGCTGTGGGCATGGATGCACGACAGGAAGGCCTCAAAAACTTACCCATCTACATGTCGCCGGTCATTCCCATGACTGCAGAAGAGTTTGATGGCTCGGTACTGGACACCTTCTTCCGCAAGGTTGGAATAGGCGCGGCACAGTGGTTTGGAGAGCCCTCTGCTACTTTCTTGCCGTGGCACAGAGACCGATTGCAGCTATTAAGGCTACGATGTGCTGCTGTTTCTGGACTCCATTGAGGAGGTCATGGCTCACTCGGCTCAAAGCCACTCCGATCCCGACTTCGCTGCTCGAATTGACGTCATTCAGGTTCGGAACTTTGCTAAGATCTCAAAGCCTGAGCAGCAACCGACCAGTGCAAGCAGGTGACTTGTCCTCCGGCAACAACGGCAGCTGCTACACCAACGGTCCTCCATCTTAATGGGATTCGTAGGGTTGCCAACTTGTCTTAAGCCTTCCTTTCCTCGGTTCGTCCCTGGGTCCGCGGTACGCGTGCATGTTGTGCATGTTGGAGGCCGGCTCCTGCGGCCTGCGGGTGAGCTGGGCCGCCTTCGAGCTGCTGGAGATGTTGGGCATTCTGGCCTCCAGGCAAGGCAAGGCATTATGCAGGCAAATGCAGGCAAGTAGGCAAAGAGCATGCAAGGAGCTTGGGCGCAGAGTGCCAAGTGCTTGCGAGATTGGTTTCTGCAGGTATGGCCCATCCCTGTTCCTCGGAGACATCGATGGCACAGGCGGTGAGGAAATAGCCATGAAGCAGGCCCACTGCAGACACTGCTTACAAGCTCCTGAGTTGTTGAAAAGCAACTGGGGTGGCCGCATTATAGCTCCTTAGTGTCAGGCGCTGAACTTGGCAGAAAAGGCCATGATGATACTGACAGAGAATCTTCATCCCAAGTTGGAGGACAATCTCTGGAACCAGACGGAAACTTGCCTGTTGAGAGTTGCTATTAAATATTAAGGCTACCAGCTGCGGTGAGGCTGAAGAACTTATTGTCAACCTAAGGACAAGGATCTTGCGTTCGCCATTGAGGCAGTCCTTAAAGGAAGCCAGGATCGGCGCCGCATGCCTTCTGTAGCGTAGCCCCGTAGCCCTTGGCTTGGTTGAGCGCTTGCTCTTGCTGCAAGAAGCCAGCAGCGCTCAAATCTTGGGGCTGGAAACCTGGAAACCAGCTCTTCCTTAGTTGCAGGCACTCAGTTACTCAGTTATGCTGGCTGTTTCTGCCATGTTTGAAGGATCTGCCTGCACGCACAGCCTGACGTCGGAACGACTCGGGTTCTGCTCAGCACTTCCCGAAGTCTGGAAGTGCAAGTGTACATACAGTCGCTGCATCGTGCGGATGCGAGTGACACAGGCCTCAGGCGAGCTGTCTGAGCTTGGCTGCTAGCTCGGAAAGAGCTCCGTTGTTTGCACAAAAGACAGAACGAGGCACTCTCAGAGCAAGGCCCCCTCTGCCTGACATGACAGTACAAGACAGGATTTATCATGATTTATCCTTTTTTTGGGGCAAGAGTGCGGATGGGCAGCTTCAGGCAGAGACACCGGAGGAGGCTCTGCTTCGAGGCATGATCTCCAGCAAGTGAGCCAATCAGCAACTATCCACACAACTGGGTTGCTGTTAAGGAACTTAAATTAAGTTACCATAATGGGTATATATAGTACTGTATTGGGGAAACCCTATAAATTACTATATATATACCCATTATGGGAACTTAATCTAAGTTCCTTAACAGCAATTATCCACACAACGCAGGTGTGGTTAGCAGCCTGAAAGAGCAAAACGAGATTCAGCGTGACATCCTTACTGGCTGCATACATAGCTTTGTTGTCAAAATTATGGTCCCTTTTTGGGTACCCCTATGTATTGGGGGCCGTACTATAATCGGGATCCAAAAAGTGACCATAATTTTGACAACCACCCACATAGCTTTGTGGATTGCCGGCTGCAAAGTCTTGACTTCAGGCACCGAGATTGCGGCTCTGAAGTGCAGACCCACTAAAGATTTGGTGGAAGCAGAGGCTGGGCCAGTCAATGCTCCCACTTCCTGAGCTATCATGCCAATCTGCCAATCATGAAATATGTGGTGGGCGGCCTGCTGCAAGAACTTGATGCACCATCCTAATTTCATGCACCGGCGTGCACCCCCAAGCAGGTGCAGACGGATGCTGTTACAGGAGCTGCACTAGCTCAGTGTGGCCTTGCCTTCGTGAGTAAAGCTTCCCATGCATGGCAGCTGCGAAGATTCTGTTATCAGGAGGCTCTGGGGCAACTGGCCCAGCAGTTGACGACACCTTTGAGGCACAGTTCAGTTCTATTCCAACGGTTTGTCGCGCAGGTTTCGCACATGACTTGCCGCTATCACGTTTCTCAGCCCATTTCTTTTGTTTTGTTTGGAAAGTCTTTCTGGCAAGAATTCTGTGAACAACTTTATAACTAGGTTAGTATGAGTCTTGTGGGTAGTGTAATGTGCAGTGATTCCCGAATGCTTCCTGCTCACATCCCAATGTTCGCACGACTGGTTGCAATTGTGTTTCTATCTCCCAGATTTTGATTCTCATTTGGAAAGATAAACGGTAAAACATGTATGAAAAGAAGATCTTTTAGAGACTTTGAAGCCATTGTAGCTTCTGTGAGATGCATAATTCATTCTTCCAGTACTCGCAAACCAACGTGATATTTGTTTGATTTTGACCAGGCGCAGCAAGTTCAGCTGGACATGATGCACCAGGAGGCCCCATTTGTTCTCAAGCGGGATTTTTGGGCAATTCAAGTGAACAAGGTCGGCAACAAGAGCCGTGAGCTGCGCCGCTCACAAGATACTGTCCTGTACTTGTGTTCTCGCGCTACCTACGCTACATGGAAGCCTCAAAGCCCCATTCGATGTACCAAGGTGAAATTGCTACGCTCAGAGCTGGAGCAGCAGCGACAGGTTTGGGACCTTGGAACGTGAAGCCTTTAAATGACCGGAGCAGGCCTTCCTAGTAGCGTTCCAAACTGAAGGTCTCCGAGCAGTACCGTTTGCAGACGGAGATGCTGGAGGCTCTGCGAGCTTGTCCCGTTGGCTTTCCGTGCAACGTGGGTGCCAAGAGCAAATTCTCAAGAGAGTCATCGGACGCGTAACGGGTGTTGAGCATAAATGAACATTCCCCTGAGACCCTTCAGGCTATGTAGACCGCAGTCCTTTTGACAGGAGCAGCTGCGGCGGACAAACGAGCGGCTAAAGAAGCTGGAGAAGGAGGCGCGATCGATCAGTCGCACAGAACAAACAAGTTGGCATTAACGCGACTGTGAGTGGCAAGTCCCTGCGGCTACCAAAGGGTAAAGCAATAATTGACCATGCTTTGAGTGGTATGGCAGTCCAGTACCTGCGTCTCAAGCACGGCAAATAGCAGGCGAGGCACACGACCTCGTTGGGACCCTGGAACCGACTACTCTTCACTCTTCAAGTGATTTCAGCTCTGGTAAGCAGAAGCAAGATTTGTGGGGTTCCTGAGCGAAAAACTCGATGAGGCCAAGTGTTCCGCAAATCTCCTCGTCCTCGCTGCCGAAGTCGTGGAAGGCCTCAACAGGGGCCGCGCGGAAGATCCAAGAATTTGTCATGAGGCACATCTCGACCCATCCGTGTTATGCTCGCCCGGCTTGCAGGGTGCGACTGCAAGCGGATGTTTCTCGGATGAGGAAGCGGAGGCTCTCCATTGCGTGCTTGTGCCAGACAATACCTTTTCGTAGTAGCCATTCCAAGGACAGCCCAGCTGAAACACATTAGCCCGCTGAGCCGACAGTGACAAATGCGTGAGCCTGGGTCCGCATTTCACCTGGCATGCAGAGTCCATGACAGGCAAGAAGGTAGGAGCCCCAACAACAACGTTCTGCATCACATGGGTTTCGCTGTGAGGTCTGCATGCCAGGAAGCAATTTAGCAAAAATGTCCTGTTCACCTCATAGAGTTGGTCAGTGTCACTTTGAACATACCTGGAGAGCCCTGGCGAATCTGCAAGGGGTTCGGGCATGAATTTGCAAGCACCTGGCTGGAGGCAACTCCCCAGGGCGTGTGTGATACGAGTAGGATGTTTGGCACGGCTAGGTGCATTGCAGACCTCCACAGGAGCATGCTGCTTGCACCAGTTTCCAGCTGCCAGCCTGTTAATAGACTTGTTAGTGGCTCCTGTTCGTTTCTGCCTGGTTGTGTTACTGCAGGTCGATGTCGGGCCGCTATTCCCTCCCTTGAGAGGGTGCGCGATTTCCACCGCAAAACTGTACGCCATGAGAACCAGCACTCTCCGGGTATTGCACACAACTGAGTCCAGTTTTCCTAGCCTTTTTCGGCCCGGGGCGGCATCTGCGTAATTGCGTAATTGACCGCAGCACGGAGGTTCTCAGGGTCCGGTAGGTGATCTCAGCGTCTTATACTCGAAGCGCTGTCCAGACTTCACAACAGCCACAGCAGATATGAGGCCGGAGAACGAAATTCACATTGGCCAAGGAACGGTTTGCTTTGCTCTAACTCTAACTCTTTTATGCGGTATGCTCAACAACAGCAGCAATGCCCGCCGAGAAGTTCTCGCGATTACTGGCTCCGGCAGGAGCTCGAGCATTTGTTCGTACAAAGGGTTCAGTCATTGCTTAATCAAGAAATTTGAGCTAGTCTGCCAACAATCTTTCGTTTTTGCTTTTGCAGGTTTGGTTTCTCAGTGGCTGCTGACGCATGTGGTCAAGGCATCGCCGGACCCGCGGTGTCCACAGCCCTCGTGCTGCAGTGCAGGGGCTGATGAGGGAGCCTGCTGGCGGCATGGCCTTTGGACCGTTTCATACTGTTGCGCATTGGGTGGAGCTGCGGACTGCTACCGTTGGGGTGAGGATTCCCCGGGCCACGACCTGGTGGTGCACGCAGCACACTCTGGGGTCCAGTGCCGGCACTTATGCCAGGCTCACGAAACCTGCGGGTACTGGTCGTACATCGTGAATGCACCCCAGGTCCCTGAGAATCTTCGAGGGCAGTGTTTCCTCAAATCCTCGAGTGCAAGCAGTCGCGCAGAGCGAGCTCATCCCTTCGTGGTCAGTGGGCACAGGCTTTGCGAGCACTTTGGCGAGGGCCTGTCGTTCACATCGGCCCAAGGCCGGCTTGGCCTTCAGATCCCAGCTTGGAGAACATCGGTCTCTGCAAATAAGGCAAGCATGACTGGCATGCTGCCGGGTTCTGGCAATGAGGACTGGTTTCGGGAAGCAGCGAAGGTCTTGGATGAAGTTGGTTTTGCGGCTTAGATGGAGTAGCCATACTGTTGTACATCTGCAAATTCAACTTGCGATTGCCGCGCCCTTCGGCCACGTAAAGCATCTACAGGGCTTCCGTGTCAGTAGGTAGGCAGTCAGCTTGGAATGCCAGGGCGCAGGCTGAGGATTACTAATTGATACCAGCGGGTCCCGGCTCCAAGACTTGTAAAGAGATTTGAGGGTCAGAATTACAAGAAGATCAGAAGTGATACGTGCTTCATCTTGCTTCAAGCATCTTCAAGCTGCAATAAGCCAAGAAGGAGACAGGCCACTCCAGCCGAGGTCGTAATCCTTGACGCGCTGTCAGACGCACAAGCAAATGAGCTTTTTCAAACAGCACAACAGGCAGCGCGCTAAGATTTTGGCGTTGCCTCTGCATGCAGCGATGAGCTTGAAGTCGTGCCGCAAGGTTGCCGAGAAAATGCTGACCTTGGATCCTGAGCGCATTGGGAACCGCGGGCCTCGGCGGTATAGCTTCGGAGGGGCTTCCCGAACCTTGCACCTCATGCGGCCCGTTGGCGAAAGCCATGCAAGCGTACTCGGGATGTCAAGCTAAACGCACCATGACATCTGCCATGGAAAGCCAAGGCATGTGCAGGGCTGGGAACAGCTCTTGGACAATCATCACGTTAACCAGCTCCTCTCTGCCTATTATGCTGACGGCTTCCTGGCATGTGGTGGTGGCGGCGACTTTGTTCTGGGTGGTACCAGCACGCAGCCTGTGTTGGATAGTGCTCTATGCCTTCATGCACTGACCCCACCTCTGCCTTGGGCACCTGAAATAGGCTAGAATCGAGAATGCCTTGCGTAAATTCCCTGAAGAACCAGCCACAAGGTATCAGTCGTTGCACCTGGATGTTGGTGGGCCTGTGCATGGTCTGGAAAAGGCTCCTGCAATCGGTTTCTTGGCAATGTCGGAGTGTAGTATGACAGGGGCTGCTGCGCCGTGAATCTCGCCCCTGCTCAGGCGTCAATTTCGTCCTGGAGGATCTGAGCTGCGCGGATGCACCAATGAGGGCAGTGCCATACTCCCACCGCAATGCCACAGAGCCACCTGACTTGAGTTCCGAGCCGCAGGCAAGGTTGAAAGAAAACATCAGCTCCAAAAACACTCGAGATGAAACAAAAGGCCCACCAGACAAGCAGCATCAAATAAACATCCAGAAACGACCAGGAGCATGATGCAATTACCCAAGCCTGTGACAGAGAGAAGAACCCGCACCGTACTGCAGTTCCCTCAAACGATGGCGCATCGTGCTTGTCACGTGCCCGGCCCCTTGCAGATCACGCTCACCTTTCCCAACCTCCCGTGCTGTATCCCTCCAAATCATTTCCTCCTGAACAGCACTGAAGCCTTCAATCCCGCATTTCAGTCAGATGTGTTTGATCAAAACCTGGCTGAAGTTTGCGTTGAATTGAACAGGATCACGCTTAAGCATGCGAAAGTGTCGCTACAACTATTTCTTGAAACGCTATGCAACAACTATCCTACAACACTTGTATGTCCCCTTTTGGGACCTCATATCCCCCTATACATAACCATACATAACCCTTATTCTCCAGGAGATGAAGGATGCCGTGCTTTGCCCCTTACCGCGCGGGAGTGCATTGGTTCGAGATCTGAGAGTTTGGCATGGAGGCACGCCCAGCGGATCGAGCCTGATCAGACGCTTGGATACAGTTTGGTCCGTTTCGGGTGGCCTGAAAGTGTTGAGCAACAACCCGCATTGTTTTATTCATTTTGCGCTGCAAGTATTGGATGTTGCGTTTTTTTTTGCGCTGACGTACCTTGCAAGGATTCCTGCCGAACGCAGAGTTCGTTAGCCTCCTCTGGGGCAGCCTCACGTTCCTTGACATAGATGCATAGCCCTTGTCAGAAGTTTCAGAGTCTAGAATCCGTCAAAGCCTGCTGAAAAGAATCCAGGCACTTCTACTTCTACCCCTTGTGGATAATGGACTTCCCCTCCAGCGAGTTTCTGAGGTGTGGGAGTGGCGAGATCCTGGACCCTTGTCAACCAGTGCCCAACCGAGAGAGCTAGAAGCTGTGCAATTTGTTGAAACCCCCAGCCTCTTACAACTCCAATGTGTGCAGGTGCCTTCACACATTCTGCATGTTGAATGTGGGACCTATCTACATATTACACTTATGTAAATATGCAGCTATACATATATCACAACGTCACTCAAGTACTGGTTGAATGGAGTGATGTGGACCACAGACAAGAAACTTGAAAGCTTCCTTCTTTGAGTTAATTGCCCAGGTGCTCCCGCAGGCTTCTCACGCACGCCTTTCGCCATTCGCCCGTGCCATCTCAGAACGCTTGGTGGATGCCTCCGGCGTCCTGCAACACGCAGGGAAAAGCCCGCAGCCCAGAGAGCAAGCCACAGTTATACGCAGACTTTCACCCAAACAGATCCACCAGCCTTTAAACTCAGTTGTCTTTGATGCTGATGCAGACTCGTATGCTGCAGCGAGCATAGGGGGGTTTGCATGTTTCCTGAAGGCACTGATTCCTGGCTGATCCCGGATTTCCGTGGGTATCACCGGCACAAGCAGGAAGCGTATTGATGCAAAAAGCCCGTTTGCGCGGCAGTCCCAACAATTCTGGCCTGATGAGGTCCGATAGCTACGGAAGGACCAAGATGTTGTTACAAGCTCTTGACTGGACAGGGCGAGCCAACTTGATAGACTCGCCAAACCTGGCAGGTGTGCATAACGACAGCTCATCTTTTGGAAGCGGTTGGGTTGGCAGGTATGCGAAACCTGGGTCTCCTGGATAGGTAGCGACTGAAGATGGCGTATTCGGCATACAGGAATGGATTTGATGCCTGCAGCATTTGGCTCAACCTAGCCTCATCCGCAACATGCTAGAATCAGGTTTCACCCAGCATTCGTGACCCATAGGCGCGCAATCAATCAATGAGTGAATCAATCTCACCCCGCATTGGCATCGGTTCAGTTTTACATGCAGGGTGACTTGGGACTGGAGACCTGAAAACGCAAGTATCCCAGGCGTCTCAGGACACCTCAGGCTGCTGACAGTTACGCACAAGTGTCCCAGTTAGCGTAGTGCATGTGCAGTACGTGGTATGCTTCTGCGAGGTTCCTCATTATGCAGCAACTCAGAGGCATCTTCATTTTGCTGAGGTCTGCAAGGCTTGATCATAAGCTAAGGGTCTTTCTTGCCCTGTTGCGTGGCCAAGCCCCACTCTGTAAACTGTAAACCTCAACCTGCCAGGGATGAGAAACAACAAAGAGCATGCCACACTGATACATGCTGCAACATGATAAGTCTTTTTCTCGAGCAACATCTGGCATCTCGCCGTCCGTCAGCAATGGCTGCAGAGCCAGCGTCTGAAGCGCGGCTTGTGCGCAGCCCAGCCCTGCTCCATCCCGTAGCTTCTTTCAGTCACGTAGGTACATACGCTGATCGGGAGTGCTTTGCCTGGCGCTTGACCTCCAAGTCTTACAAGTAGCTGGTGGCAAAACTGCTGACTTCTAAGGAGCGGATTGATTTCTCGACTGCCATGCCACCCGCTGGATACTGTCAAGGCACAAAGACACCACTCTTGTCTCATTGGCGCTCATCCTGTGTTTCAGTAGAGTTGGCTTTCTGATATGTCCCCCACCGAGCTCCAGCAACTTCAAGTTGAGCTGATGCAGTCCAGACTTCAAAGCGCCAACGGCAGTGAGTACAGGAGTACTTTACACTGTCATGCGCTCAGCTTCTTATTCCGGCTCATCTTGCTGCCGCATGAGCTCACTGCAGACGCTCCAAAAAGTAAGAAGGCTTTCGTAAGACCTTCGCCGAAGAAGGCGAGGCCCGCAGTGCAGTGCAGAGGAAGCTGAATTTCACCCGGCAACGCAGATTTTGGGGTTCAGCTTCGCAAATTGGAGGTATTCGCGGCTTCTACAGAGGGCAAGGTGCTTAATCTCTCAAGATCTGTGCCCTGTCCTACGGTCCTTGGGGCTCAGCTCAGCTCAGGTTCGGTATCGTAGCTGTTCTGGGTACACCAGGTGTCTGCGCTTGGCTCACAGCTGCCTTACAGCGCAAATGTTCCGACTGACTGAAGCCTCCTGACTTAGGCTTACATTTCAACTTATGAAGTCCTGAAGTCCTACATGGCTCCAGATGCTGCCCATCTCAACTTCAGTTATCTGTGCCTGGGCAGCTGAATGCCTGCACTAGAAGCACTAGAAGTTACAAGGCGCGATTCCATCCCATGTGACCTCAGGGTTCAGAGTTGGCCTTTGCCCGCCACCTGATGGCCGGCATTGGAGCAGAGGCCGCAGCCATGGTCAAAAAACTTGTTTCAGATTCGGTTAAAATCTGTGCCTGTTTACTGCTTGCCGTTCATGGGAGAGCCGCTATCGCTCAAAGTCTTCTTTCAGCATGCATTTGGTGCGGCAGTAGCAGCAGCACCAGCAAGCAGCCATTATCATCATGTTGCAGGTTTAGAAGGTTAGCAAACCAGCATTTGGACAAGTCCTGTCCAGCTGAAGTTTAGAGCGTTCGCAAGCCAGCAGCGGTCACTTCTCAACATATCAGCACGGCCCCTGCAGCACGACCCCATGCATCAGACGTTTTTTGCCCGAAATTGCTACGACAGAAGTTGATCTTTCTCGCGTGCAGCCACCTGTCGTCCCCATGGGCGCGTGGGGAAGCCCGTGCAAAACGCAGGAGCCCCCCAGGTGCTGCTGCAGGCATCGCACTTGCGAAGGGATGGGCATGGATGGGCGAAGGACACAATCCAAGCTTTGAGGCAGAGGGAGGTCTTTCCATGCCACCAGCGCAGAGCTCTTTCGGAGAGGCCAACAGCAGGGAACCTGCAAACTGTTAGACTTTACCGCTTTCTGCATTTCAGATCATGCTGCTTGCTGTTTGGCAGACCTGCTGCTTGACACAAGGCAGAGGCCAATGCAGCCAATGCTTCAAACAGCACGGCGGCGGACGACTCCAAAGATGAGGGCTTTCAGAGTTTATGCCGCGTCTGCCGGTCACAGAATGTGGAATACACGTCTGAGGCTTGGCTCATTTGGCTGACTTCACATTCTTTTGAACAAGCTTCTGCCAAAGACGATGGTGACTGATTGAAAGGGTCAGGGGCCCTTGGCTCTCCCAAGCAAGAGGGTCCTGAATGAAAGAGGGTTTTTTTTCAACAAATTCAATAGGTATCACAGAATGGCCGCCTAAAACAAGGTATCGAGACATATTCTTTCCAATTGAACCAATTGCAGTATTGGCAGACAAGTCGAGCAAGGAAAGAAAGAACAAAAGAAAGCGAAGATAAGGACCCTGACCAAGAGAAAAAAGGAAGCCTTCAAACAAGCAAGCAACAACGCGCGAAGATCGGAAAACAAATGACGATAAATTACCCAATTAGCAAGGACCAGCAACGCCCTAAAACCTGCAATAGCAAAAACAATACAGGAATACTGCGCTCAGGTGTGAGGTGCGGCGAAATCTGGGTATAGTAGTGAAACTATAGTGATAAGAGTAAAAAGAGTAATAGCAGTTGTTGATCGAGACTTTTTAGTTTTTGATGTCTGTTTCGTTTTGCTATTCAGCCCCCGGAAGGTCTGCAGTTTTGAGAAACCCAAGATCTACCTAGGACCTGGTCATCGTCGCACGCCCGCGGATGCCAAAGCTGCTTCTTGCGAGGCGGTCGGCCAAAGCCCGAAACCGTCCGCTTGGCTGCACTCTGGAGGGGATTCAACCTTGCGCCTGCCATCCTGGTGTTGGGGTCTGTCGGCTCTCTTGACATCCCTGCATAGTTTGAACAAAACAGGCTCACCTGAGCACCTTCACTTGGACAGACGGCAGCGGGGACCTCGTGCTGCCATGGACCGATTGCAACCGGTAGACCTCTCCTGCTGAAATCAGGTTGGGCCGCTGCCCTGTCTTGGAGGAGGAGGAGCGGCTACGATTGCTGAGCTTTGATGGCACGAGTGGTGGATGTGCCATGTTTCGATGCTTCTGCATGAGCCATGTGGCAATGTTGAAACAATTTTCCCTTTTGGCACGCAGAAGCTGTGGTCTTTTCTGGCCTTGCGGGCCATCGTCGCACCAACGAGCAGTCAATCTCCTTCGCCTTGTGATTGTCCACCTGCTTGCATCCCAGGAACTACCAGAACAATGCCATATCGCGCCAGACGCCTGCAGTAGTGAGTTTTTCTAAGTGTATTGTGGAAGCATCGCACGTCGACAAGCTGAGGCATTGAGCACCTTGATAACTTGCCCAATCTCACCTTCCTAGACCTGTACGACAACAAGATCCAGGTCATGGAAAACTTAGCGCTGTGGCTGCATGGTGTCGGCTGGCAAGTAGAGAGGTGCCGAGCAGGCACTCCCACAGGGGTCTGCATTGCTTTTCACGTTGTGGCGCTGAGCCAAGGAGAAGTGCAGAAACTTGCGCGCACCTTTGGCAGAATGGAGAGTCATGACAGTGGACAGAAGTCTTCATGAGATGCGTTAGGCTCTGACGTGTGTACATACGTGTGCACATCCGTCGTTTTATCTTTTCTCAGGTCCTCATGCTGGGCAAGAACCAAATTCAGCGCATTGACAACTTAAAGACTCTTGAGAAGTTGGATGTTTTGGACCTGCACAGCAACAGGATCAAGGAAATTCAGAACGTGTCGCATTTGAAGCATCTTCGTGCCTTGGGCTGCACAATGGCCTGTCCTGACCTAATGCTAGACGTCATCGTTTCTCTTCAGCTTGTTCGAGTTAACGCTCATCCCTGCGGTTCAAGCAGTGTGCAACAAGTAAAGCCTTGCAGGGCATGGGTAGGTGAACCGAACAGGGACTGGAAGCAGAGATTTGAAAGCAGGCTGACCTCCAACTCTGCTCATGTCTTGTAAGGGCAGGCACCTTTCAGACCCAAGGACCTGCGGAGGAACGAATTCTGTGGACATTATGGTGCGCACGGTAGCTCGCGACAAATGCACCATGGTGCATTCTCATTTCGACCGTGTTTGCAACGTCATGGTCCAGCCATCGTGCGCGAGAAAAAGAGTTTCCACCGAGCCCGCGTCGGTAAACTGAGGCGTTGAGGCCTGAAATCAAGCCGCGATAGCTTGCGCCACGTCAACATTACCTCAAGAGAGGCATCCGCGTCGGCTTTTCCTGGGGCCGCGTGAGCATCATGACATGTTTGGCGATAGCACCGCAAATAACAACAAAAGATTCAAAGGGTTTAGGTCACAGCTCAATTGCGTTCTAGCAAAGTTGCCGCTGACGCGACACCAAGTCCGCAACTCTCCAGGATTCATGCTCGAGTGAAATATTGGTAGATCCAGGAAAGGGGGGTCGGGACCTGAAAAGGTTTGCAGAAGCTCGTGTAAACCTTCCCGAGCGTGCTTTCAGGGTTCATATAACCGCGCCGGGCGCTTCGGGTTCGTCTAACCCCATCCCTGCCTTCAGTTGATAGTACATCTAACTGACACTAAACCAAGCGAATTCTACCTCCTTCTACTTGTAGCTCCCAAAGGGGTTCGACTCGCTTCGTCTTTCCTTTCTAGTTCCAAAACCACCCCTCATGCTTGCCCCACCATAGGTATAGCCACTTGTTGATAATCCTTGTATCTGCAAATAGAATCCTAACTTGCGAATCGACACTGGTTGGAACACCGCGACAAAGCATTAGCGGAAGTGCGCGCCGCAGCTTGGCCCGGGTTGAGCGGGTCGGTGGGGGACCCGAGACACATTAGAATCTCTTGAAGGGATGAAGACTACCTTTCACATAAAAAACTGTCGCTCAACTGCCATTGTCGCCATTGTAGCAACTCTTTCATGCTTGTAAGGGCGGTGGGTAGGGACTTTGTCGGCCTGAGGCCTCAGTGAATTCTTTTGAATCATTTGAGCTGCGTCCAGTTTAACTTCGAATATTCATTGGAGCACACCTGCAGTTCAGTGCTCAGAGCCACGCTGTGAGAAGTCAGGCGTCCTGAACCTTGCTGGCAATTTTCTCCCAAGCATCCTCAGCTTGGACGGCTTGGTGGCGCTCACCGAACTGTCGCGTGGCTGAAATTGGTGCAGAGGTGTTTGCTGCCGAAAGAGCAGAAGGCTGGATACGGATCCACAGCTCTGCAGCCAGGAACATACGGCGCAATGTGATTTCGACAACTGCGGGACTTGACCAGGCATTGGCCAGTTAGGTCCATTTCTCACGTTGGCGATTGGTTTCACAGAGTTGGACGGCTACAGGTGCCGCAGCTTCAACGACTCTTTGCATCGCACAACAACATCGTCCTGCACGAGGCATGGCGTCTTGAACACAATCCATGTCTTGAGAACCACTTCCGCAGAAGTGCGCTGCCCTGCTTCATTTCTTGTCCTCGACCATTCACGCCACTGATAAGGACCTGCGGTGGTTGGGTGCAGCCACTAACCTCAGAGAGCTGGCCTTGGATGGAAATCCAATTTCCGACAAGACACAGGCCCTCCTGGCGTTTGCATTCTGAAACTGAAGGGTCTCAAGTTGCGAAGCACAGGCCTATCATGTCCACGTGCTGTCCCTGTGCCCAAATCTGGAAATGCTGGCTGCGACCTTACGCGGTGCTTTGCACATGCACGAAATCAAAACTGTGATTCATCGCGTAGCGCAAGTGAGGATAACCTCAAATTGGAGGCGCGCAGATGCAGCTCGGCTTCTGTAGCCAAAGCAAACAAGCTGCTGCTCGAGTTAAGCTGCTAAGGCATTCGGGCGACAAAGCTTTCGCAGGGAACAGGGCCCGAGGTCTCGGAGGTCGCAGAGCTCACGGCTTCAGCGCCACCGGCAGAACCCGCAGAGGAGCCGCAGGCACCGGAGCCGAGTCGGGATGCCGACATGCAGGCTTCCGTCAGCCCCGGCCACTCGGCTCAGGCGTGGGCAGCTGAGCCCTTGAGCTTGTTGGCAAAGAGCTCAGGCCCTGACGAGCAGGAAGCCGACCGCGACCCGGAGCCGCCCGTTGGCATCCGCAGTCACTCGGCTCTTAGCAGGGGCCGGGAGCAAGGGAGAGAAATGCAGAGACTTGATCCGGCACTGAGCAAAGCACCAGGAAAACAGTTTAAGACCTGGGGCATGTTGCCCTTGGGTGTTGAGCCGGAAATCTTGCACTTACCGGGACAGGGCAAGCAGGCTCAGGACGGACAGGGAATTGTGACTGGCTATGCGAAAAGCTTCATCAAAAGAGTGGTTTGTGAAGAGTTGAGGATGCTTGCTGTTGGCTGAATTGAGACAAGCCTTGATCATTGACGCGACCCATAGCGCAGCCAGCAATCTCGCAGAACCCTGGCTTGTGGAAAAGCAAGCGCAGAGAGAGCTGAGAAAGAATAAAAGGGATCAGAAGCAAGGTGCACTAGAAGACTTCTCGACACGGACCGGACATTCAGAGCTGCCATTTGTCTGAGCAGACTCTGGAGGCTTTGTGATATCACCATTGCCATCTGCAGCCTTCAACACGGCACCTTCAGCAGAGGAGGTCAGGGACATGAAGGGCTCCATGCCTGAAAAGCCAGCCTCATGCGTCAGGAGACATCTAGCGCCAAGGCGGCTGAAATCCGGGCGGCACAAACGCCACCACCCTCCCGGCCAAAAGGCTTGGCAAACGAGCCACATGGCCAAGTGGGCATATGGGGGTTGCATAACGGACAAGAAAACGGATATTACTGCAATATTATAGGGTTTGGAGTATATAGGGAATGGACAAGAAAATGGAAACTACTACAGTATCATCATTGCCATGATCGACATTTTTACATCATTACTATTATACTTGTTATGGTTATTATTGCTATTACCACTATTAATAGTATTCTTATCCTTGCTGTTCTTACTATCATTATTTCTAGCATTAATTACTGTTATTATCAGGGTTTAGGGGCCCGAGGCTTGATGCCCTGCCATCTCGTGCCCTTCCGGGTCTTTCCAAGCGCCCGTTGACACCCACAGATCCTTGGGCAACAGCTTCAGAGATTCGACGTAGGAGGGAGGAGAAAGAGACATTTCAAAACCAGGCGGAAGGTTCGCGGATGAAAGAGGTTGGCTCACAGGGCTGAACAGCTGCCCAGTTGGGAAGATTTTTTTCCTAGCGTTGAACTGCATCTTGGGCTTTGCTGAGGACAGATGTGCAGTAATTACTAGGCTTCGCGGGGACTATGGCTGCTGCCGCCGCAGCCGAACCCCTTCAATTCGGCATTGTCTAGATGCATCTCTTCCTCGGGCTTTTTTTCAACAGAATCCCAGTTGCTGAGCAGACCGAACTGTTCCGCTTCTGTTGCACATCGGGGAGGGGAGACCATCAGGGTGAGATAGAGCTGTTCTGAGCCGTGAGCCGGCAATCTTTGAGACCTAGTCCTGGGTTGACAAATGGAAACTACTATATTGGGGTTATTATGGGATTATATTGGGGCTATTATGGGATAATGGAAAATAAAATGGAAACTACTATATTGGGGTTATGTAGGGGTTATAGTCGTAATGAGGACCTTGCTACTCCGGCTTGTTCAGCAGGCTCCCACGCCAGATAAACTTTGAACACCT